TCCCTCACCAATCCCCCTATAACTTAATTTAATCCATAAACAAACCATAGACCATTGTCCAAATATTATAAACCACCAGACACCATAGAAGAATATGATCACACAACTGCAGCATTCTTGCAGAGATAACATGAATGCACCATGGTCCTCCCCCTTCTCATCAACTTGTCAATGGTCAAAATGCATTCTCTACCCGTCTCCCAAGATAGAAAGTAATTCCAGGAGGGGCATTCACCTTCCAAATCTGCTTGGCCGGGAACCGCATCTCTTCTTCCACAGGGAGGTCATTGTTCCATAGGGATTAATAACTTGGTCAAGTACAATTCAGGGCTCCATCTTCCACAGGAAGGTCATGCATTCCGACCTGCATGCATTAGTAATCTGTGTTTCTAGCCCCTATTATGAGACAACCCTTCTGCTTGCATTCCGGAGAGACTGCAGTGACGAACTCACCCTAAGGGCAGTGCATATCACCAAAAGAGAACCCATTACGAAAACACCAGTCCCTAAAGACAACTCAAAAGAGACCAATCAATGCAATATCACTTTTGTAAATGCAAAAGCCACTGAGCAGTAACTTCCACCACTTGCATCAAATTTCTATAGAGACTCTTTCTTGATGAGCCTTCTAAGTGAAAAAGGCAACTAAACCCTTCAGAGATTTTTGCAAATAGCTGCCTGGAGCAAATCCTTCCATCTTTCTCATTGTCCTTGCTCCACTTCTCTTGCACTACTGTACTCTGTCAATTTCATCTATTTTCATCTAGCTATTCAGATGGCAAGATCTAACTTGCCTGAATAATTTTTGCACCCTTTTTTTTACTAATCCGATTCCCTCAGCCTTTATTGATTCTCTTCTAGGGATTTTGCTCCAATTTCCGCATTTTCAAACTAGGCTCAGCCAGATGTCATGGAACTTGCTTTCTTCTAAGAAACTGAATAATAGATAAATGAAAGAGTTTACTACCTTGACTTTCTTACTTGACAATTTTTTACCTTTCTTGCTTGTCTTAACCTAATCCTAATTAACGAATTTGGAGTCTTTGGATTCTGGTTGGGGTGCAACATTTCTATTGTTATTAAAATAAAAATCACTAGTTTTCCTTTACCAGTGGAATGGTGGGTTGTGGAAGAAATGTCATAAATTATCTTATCTATTATGATACCAGTGCTCATCACGATAACTTGTCCGCACTAAGGATTTTAGACATGATGCTCCTGTATATGTACATCTACAAACCCCTGCCAAGGCCCTTATTTTCCTGAAAGCTAAAATTCAAAATCTACATATATTTTATCCTATTAAGCTACTCAATCATACCATTCATACTAGCAACCAAAGTGTGAGTATGCACCAAGCAAGGTATATATGCCAAGCATAGTCTATGTTAGAAGAAACAAAGAGCAAGTCATAAACTTCTTCCGAGCTGGTGAGAGCAAAAAGACACGAAAAGGGCTAGGTTCCACCATATCCTTACCCAGAAGCAGAAATTTCTTTGCCTTTTGAATCAGATGTCCCTGCATAAAAGAATACATATTGTTGAAATACTCAAGGTAATCACATAAATAGATTAAGTCAAACAGACAAATGAAGATATACCAATATCTGCAGCTTTTAACAGACAATTCAGAAGTAAAGAAGCAAATAATTTTTATTAATTGATTTTAAAATATCTGAGCTAGCAATTAAATGCAAATTTGCTTTAGTTCCCACCTCTCAAGCTCTCTTTCTTCTCCTACCTTTTCTCCCCCTGCTAATTTCCCTAATCTGCTTTCTCACCACTAAAATCTCTCCAGAACTAAATCAAAATCTGCTCCTTATGACTGTTAAGGAATTGGTTTCCTAATCATGGTACTTTTGAGTCTATGTTGCGCAGAGAGAGAAAACCCAAAGCCAACTGTCAAGAAAGGACTAGGAGTGGATATGTGGCTGTTACGGAATTGGTTCCCTAATCTGCTTCCTCATGCTTTTCTTTCGTTGCCTACTTTTAACATCATTTCTTTACCTGTTATTTTTTATTTCTTCTGCTTCTTTTGTTGTTCTCATTAATGGAGGTCTGTCGACATTCTTTAAGGCATCGAGAGGGCTCCAGCAGGGGGATCCTCCATCTCTGCTATTTTTCATCATTGTTATGGAAGCTTTGAATGGGTTATTGATGAAGGCTAAGGAACGAAAATTGGTGAGAGTCGTTTCTGTGGGTAGGAATGACAGTTTTCTTGAGATTTCACACCTTTTTTTTTGCAGATGACACATTGATCTTTTGTCAACCTGATGTGAGGATATTACTACATTTAAGGTGTGTTCTTTTGTGCTTCCAAGCGGTTTCAAGGCTCAACATAGAATTGGTCAGAATTGGTGATAAGGGTGATAAGGGTCGTCTTGCTAGGGTGCTTGTTAGAGGTAAATAAAATTTCATTACATGTGAATTTTAGGACTAAGAAAAGAAGAAAGATTATTTAGGTACCCTTATTTAGCTTTCTTCTAGATTGTAGATCTCCCAATTCCTTCCGTTTATTAAGTACTTGCCGCCGCATTCTTGCATCAAAATTGGCCTCATCAATATCATCGTCGTCATCATCATTACTATGATCAAAAGATGTAGTTTCCACATCTTTGTTTGCTCCTTCATTCTTAGAACTTAGAGCTTGTCTAATAGATAATTGGACATCCCTTTTTGTCTTATCTTCAGAGGAGTTCTGCACATTTTAGAAATTAAGTGAAATCAGTCTTAAAGATGTTATACAATCAATAATTTACTATTAAAATACAAAGACGATAAATGTCTACAATGTGCAGTGTTTGCCATTTAAGTCTCGGTACCACTACAGCCATTTATACCGGGCTGAAAGGCAGCCTGAAAAAATGCTGTATGGAAATTCAAGATCAAAAAATTATTGCATTAGTGCTTCAATTTGTTCCATGGACTTCCATCCAACCAAGAAAGGAAGGGGGAAAATTAGGGAAAAAAAAAAACAAAAGGAACAGGAACTGGACCATTACCAGTTCTTTACTCGAAAATTCTGACTTCAAGAGACGAGGATCATCCAGCACATCATGACTGCTTTTGATTTTTTGCTTCACAGCTGCAAGCTCCTTCTCCTCTTCTTCAGCCTCTTCCCCAAATGAAAGTAAGTTCAGCTTTCTACATGGTGCAAACGTGACAAAGGGCCCGTAAACAAAAAAGAGTCCAAAACACTGATTCCTTCTCCATATTACCAAATGATCAGATAGGATAAGAGAAAAATTACTTCACAGCTTTCTTCTTTGAATCTTTTACTTCAGCATCAGCTACAGGCTGAATCAAAGTCTTTACCAGAGCTCTAGGAATGATATCTTCAAAAGGGTTCCATAAAACCTAATTAAAACAAGGGGTTGGTAAAGCATCCTTCTGGCATTGCTACCATAGAATTTCAGAAAGAGAAAATTTGACCACAGGCCATATTTCAGAACCAAAAAAAGAAATACTCACCTCAACAGAACATATTTTAGGGGCAGGATCCAATGGCCAATCATTCTTATCGGTATCAACCTCACCTATTCTCATAAGATTAAAAATTGAGTCCCCAGTCACGTGAAAGGACACAAAAGTTTTCTTGAACGTCAGTAAATTGTCTTCTAAAGAATTCTCAACTGAACGATGAATGTTCATTACCTTCCCAAAAATGGTATGCTTTCGATCAAGCCCTTCACATTTATCTAGAGTTATGAAGAACTGACTGCCATTTGAATGAGATGACCCAGCGTTTGCCATTGCAACTATGCCTCTATGGTTAAACCTTAAACGAGAATGGAACTCATCCGGAAACACACCTCCATATATACTTTCCCCGCCTACATTGAGCCCCAAAGCATAAGTGAAAAACGTCAGTGAACATCAACTCACCAGTGAAGAAGACCTACAAAGGTCCTGCATACTTAACCCTGTTTCGTACTTCACCTCATTCACTGACCCAGTAAAACTTAAGCAACATTTTTCTACTTTCCATTTTCTAAATCCATCATTTTTACATAGTGCGGAAGTTCAAAAACCAGATAATCAGTACACAAGAAGGATAAAAGCCGCCGAACACGAAAGAAAGCAAGAGCAATGGATAGTACTCCATTTGGTACCTCCCTACTCCAAGAAAGTTAGAGAGAGAGAGAGAGAGAGAGAGAGTTTTCAATTACTGCTGGTATCAATCTAGATTACAACTATTAACAAAGCAACAGAGAAAACAAAAAGCAGAAACATAGATTGCTAAGGAAATCACCTGTCCCAGTGCCGGTGGGATCGCCTCCCTGAATGAGGAAACCCTTGATGACGCGGTGGAAGATGGTACCGTCGAAATACGCTTCGAGGCATAGCTGCACGAAGTTCCTAACAGCCTTGGGTGCCTCTTTGGGCCAAAGCTCGATGTCTAGCGGACCGTACGACGTGTTCACTATCACCTTACCCTTCGTCGGTGGCTCTAGCACATACACCGTCGACATCCCTTCTCACTTTCTTCCAATTGCAATTTCTTTCTACTGCCAATTTACTCGTTACCTATTCGTGGTTTCTTCTGAGAATTGCATTCAGGCTTGAGAAATTAGGGTATGTTTGCTGCGCGGAAAGGGCTGTGTTCGTAGTCTGGTCTGAACTGGATTAAAAAATTACATAAAATGAAGAGAAGCATTCAGTCCTAGTTTGAAAAAAATTGAAAATTTTCATGAGATCAATCCCCAAAGGCCTGCGTTCTTCTATTTAGTTTTTCAAAATTCTCTGAGCTTAAATTTCATTTCAAATTTATCTAATTATTATTATTAGTGTTAACTAATACAAAATTATTTTGGATTAAATTTTATTAAAATTAAAAAACAATTATTTTCTAACCATTTAATTGCTATATATGACAACTATACAAATATTTAACACTATATATAACCAACATTATATTAATTGATATGTTAATAGAAAATAAAATAAGCAATGTATTTTTAAACTAATTTTTTCTTTCTAAAGATATAGTTTTCAGAAATCTTCACAATAAAATACATTTTCCAAGAAAGAAAAAAAAAAGCATAAAATAATAGTTTTGATCTCAAAATGTGAAAAATATACACCAAACTAATTGTCTTCAGAGCATAATCAATTTTAACAACATCAATTTAGAATTCAAAACATTAGAAAAATGAAGAAACTCAATCTTCCAAATCTACAGGGTCATCTAATTATTTCATTACACAGCTCAAATCCATTGTGTCTTGGTAAATTGCTCATCCTGAGAATAGGAAAGCATGTAATGATGATGCCTAACCAAACTCAAAAAGTGAATCATGAACTTCGAGACTTGCTCGGTTGCTCATCCTCGTCACGTGGAAGCTGGAAAGGAAAATGTACAAATTGGATCTTCAAAACACGCGAATCGGCTTTCTTATCATCAAACTTGTAACCTGCAGAAAGGCCAATGTAGTACAGCCTACTAATTGTATTATTTCAATATAATAAATGTGTATTATTTTAAGAAAAAGAAAAGAGTTACTCCTTATCCAGGATTCTAAAAAGCAGGTGTGAACAGAATGGTGGTTCGAGCATAATCAAATATGTTAATATGGCTGCCTTCAGACCATGATCACCCAATAACTCGGAGTAAAAATCAGCAAACATCCAAATTAAACATTCGGTGTATGCAGTTTACCTTGCAGAGCTTCCATTGCAGTCAAAGCGCAGTTTGCATCAACAAACTCCACAAAGCATAAGACCCTAGCCTTGTCTCCACTCTGCAATGTACTTACAAAATGATCATTGTATAAAAAGCACAAAAAGGAATAAAAAGTCCCAATTGATGCTTGTCGAAGAACCATCTGATGATTACAACAACGATAAGAAAACGATAGCTGGGAATGACGAGCACAGGCATGAGCTTAGACTTAGAGAGTTTAAATTAAACATTTACGGGGAGCAAGAGATTGTTCACGTGAGAGGATGATAACCAAATGGATAGTTAGGTCCATTTATCAAGTGGAAAAATAGTGAAACACAATCAGCTTTTTTTTTTATAGGTAACAAATATGAAAAACTTACATGTCTAGCCTCCTTGTGAATAACTCTGATATCTTTGTAGCCGATAAATGGACGGAAAAGATCTTTGCCATTAGTCAAGGACATTAAAAGAAGGGAGAAAAGACATCTATCCTCAGGAACAGACACAAAACATTAAGAGAAAACACGTCTTGTGTAAGTATAAAGTTCATTTTCAAGCAAAGTTAAATGCTTTCTAATTAAATTGAATCAAGCATAAAACACTCATATAAGTCATGTAAAACACGTACTGCAACAACAAACACTGACATAACCTTACTGCATTACGTGGCTAAGAAGAAAATCAAAACCAAAAGGATACGCCCTACTTCTCTCCTCGTACAGTCAGTCGGGAGCCCATCAACAAACAGAATGTTAGATTCTCCTGCACGAACTGAGATGTCATCGACATTTCTTGTTGAGCTGGGTTTTTCAGTGGCTGCTTCAGAAATGCCTGAAGTAGTGCCTTGTCTAGTGAGAGATCCAATATCTGGTCGCTGACCAATGAAACTGGGATCCTCGGGTGGAGCAGAGTAACGTGTAAAACTAGTGCCTGCTGATACTCCACCAGGACGAAGTTCAGGAAGAACCCCAATATTTGTAAAATCATCAGAACCATACGCCCCATACCGCAATGAATTTCTCTGGTAGAAATGACTGTAGTGTTATATGCATAATTCACATCATGAAAAGCTGAAGTAAAAGTTCTTACATCTCTCGTCAGGAACTCTGAAGACAAATCTTGTAAACCATTAGAGCCGAATGCATGTGTAGATGCAAAGGATGGTGCTTCAGGTGACAAGTGGCCAGGAAAGCGAGGTCTTATCATACTGCCTGTCATAATTAGGGCTACAAATCAAGATATTTGGTCTAAATTGTAAAATAACTGAACACAAAAAGAATAAAAATCACCACAACAAATAGTAATCTTTCAACGATTTTTTACTCCTCATTTGGTTCTTTTGGGTAGCAAATTAGTGAAACTTAAAAGGACTGGCTGTTATACCCCAGCAATTACTTCTGTGCAAAGCACAGCTCCAGTGATTTTAGCAAAAAGCACTCCCATAGCAATCGTCTCCTCTAAAAGAATAATAAGTGCAAACCACCATATATCCAGATCAACAAACGTTGGAAGAACAACATAAAGCAGGGAAGCTGAGGAGAAATTGCCAATAGAAATGCCAAGTTCAAGACACAAGTCTGAAGCTGCATTGGGCATACTGTGTAAGTTGAAGGTTCAACACTGTTCCAGGCATAGATTTTCAATACACAAGACTGTATTATGAAGTGCTAGGATCACATGCATTTTCTTTTTGTAGCTATTGCTAAAAGAGAGGAGCTTATAGTACATAAAGCCTATGAATGATAAAGAAATGGGGGATTCACTTCGGCAGGCACAAGGATTTTGGAATGAAAGAGGAACTGATTAGCAGAAAATTATAGCCTACTTACATATGTTTGGACTCAGAAAATGTTTGCAGCAGCACATAGCGCTACACAGAAAGGGAAGCCACCAAACGGGAAAATGCACAATATTTTCTAATCCAGTAGAATAATATGTTACCTAGAGCATTTTTTTTAACAAGATACCTATAGCAACCCTAAAAATAAAATTTAATTTAAAGTTTAAATTTGGGGTTTTAGGAGCACCTACTGGTGCTGTTGAAAACAAAATCAGGCACCAAAATTAGCATTGATCAAATGACCAAAAATTTCAAGGTCCAAAATAATATAGATAAGAATATCTGAAGCACTTTCTTTTGTTGGAGATTAATCTAATTAGGATCTACTTGCATGCATATTTATTATCCTATGAAGTGCAAGTGTGCGCGTAATGTTCATAATTAATAGAAATTCACCAAACTGTAAAATTAAAAATATTTATAAATCATGTCATGAAAAACTAAAAGATAAAAGAAAGTAATGTCTTCATGTCTATTTGCCTGCTCTCTTTTTTAAGCAACACTCTCCATTAAATAGATTTAGAGCTATAAATAATAAAATCCTAATAATGAGATCATGGCCATAAGAAGAGAGGAAAATCCCCAAGTTAAACAGAATAGTGCATGTGCCATTCTTGCCCATATCCATATAACAACCGTGCACTAATTTGGTGATATACACAATACTTGCTTCAACAACCTGTTAGTTACTAGCTGCGGCACAAAGCAATGCATTTATTCTATGTATCAGTTTGAAATAAGTAACGGAGTAATCAACTTTCCATTTTAAAATCACAATTCCATTTCAATAAATGAGAAAGAGGCTCCTAGACAACTTCATAGCATGGGGGATGACCGGAGAGAAATGCTGCATGGAACTTTGCTCTGAGCATTTGAAGTTTCAAGCCAAGGTGGTGTTGGGCCTTGCACTCAAATTGTACTACCTCCCTTATTTCAATTATAACAGAACCTTGTGAGCGGAAAGAGTTAATAAAGCATAAATAGAGACAAACAAAACAAGAGGCCCAAAAGAAAAGGAAACATCACATATTCACCCAAGCACGATTTTCATGGCCAGTCTTAGCATATTGCAAGCCTTTCCAAAAACAAGAATGCAATGTATTATTTGAATTAAGTTGGTCAATGACAAATCCTCCATAACAGTAAGACAATTCAAAGCATGCAAGGAACAGGGAAAGAAAGGGCAACGTAACAAGGATAGCCAAATCAGAGGCAGAATTGACATTGAAAAGGAAAAAGGAAGCGAAAGGGTGCCCACATGACTCATGGAATGTCACCAAACAGTTTGTATGTGAACTAAGTAAAAGATGTGCTACTTCTAAATCATGCCATAGCCTAAAATATTGCATAACCATCTATTGTTCATCACCAAACCCATAATTTGCAAACCAAATATCAGGTAAATGAGAGTTAAACATACAAGAAAATAGTAACAAGAGAAGAAACACAAATCAGCTCGTTAAAACAGTCTCTACAAAATCAAAATTAAATTACCCTTTATATTACAGAAGCATTTCAACAAGCCAGAATGCATTCAAACATTTTCATCAGCATAAATTCAATTTGTTTTTGAAATAAGGCACAACATTTGAAAATATAGCCACACTTAGCCTCAAGACATTTTACAGATCATAAACTAGATAACAATAATACTGCTAAAGAAAGTAATGAGCCGAGCTAAAGTTCATTCAAACATTTCCGTAACATAATATATACGAATCAAGACATACTGCATGAAATTGTTTCAACTCATTGTTTAGCTTTCATGCAATCAATCTTTGCGCAGATATTTGAAAGGAGAAAAAACTCATTTGAAACTGTTCACAGACACTAGAACACGTTTGGCCTTCATCATTCATAAAACTGAGAGATAGCAACTAACAGACGAGAAAAGAGAAAGGAAAAAGATTATAAAAAAAAAAAAACTAATCCCACAATTCTGTCATCCATTCAAAGGAAGTCTATATCTTCATTTCATTCATAATCAAAATCCATTTCGTTCTGCATTACAAAAATGAGGGAAATGAAGAGGAAAAAGGAGATCAATGTATACCGTTCTCGTACACCACCGAAACTCGGTTCTGTTTCTGCCACCTCCTTCTTGGCCTTTTTCCCGAAACCTCTATTCTTCCAAAGATCCTCACCGAATTCCCTCGAAATCCTCACTCTTCCGGTCTCTGTTTCTTTTCTAATCAGACCAAAATCCCTAAAACCCAGAAGAATGAACCCCAAGAGAACCCTCGTCTCTCTCTCTCTGTCTCTCCGACCCACACACACGCACACTTACAAGAAAGAAGAAAAGCTTCTCCTTTCTCTCCTCCTCTCTCTCCCTCCCTTTCTGTTTCCCTTACAAATAAAACCTAGAACCCAAAACCTCCATGCAAAAGACCTTCTCGAAAGCCTCCGTTTTTTCTTCGTCGCTTCTTCTTTTCTTCTTCAAGCGCGAGCCCCTACTCCTCGTGCTTCTCTTTCGCTCTCGAACTTCACAGAGACAAAATTTGATGTAATTAATGTTTTGATACAAAAACAATTTGTTTATAATAATTTTAAATTTTTTTATGAATGTTGTTTATTTTCTCTAAATATTTAAATATAAATTAATTTTTAAAAACTTATATTATTAAAATATTAACACATAATTATCTTTCTTAGACTAATGGAGGGGGGGATTTTTGGGTTGGGTTTAATCTTGGGTTAATGGCCAAAATTAGGTTTTGTTTTGGTTTAAGATGAGTAAAATGGGTTTTAATGTAAATGACTTAACATAATGGTTTTAAGGAGCATACTTTATTGTAATTCTACATTATCTTTACAAACTATGAAGGTCATTTTCATTATAATTATAATTTTTTTATAACGAAATTTTAAGATTTATATTGTTTATAGTCACAAAAAATCGCGCAATCGAGATCTTTAATTGTTGCTTCTTCTTTTAAGATAGTAAAATTTTATAATACATTTTACTATATTTATCGTATTTTTTAATAATATTTTAAGATATTTTTTATTATTTTAAAAAAAAATTAAAACAAAATAATCCGTCTTCTCTGAATAAGATTTGAAAATGAATTTTGTTAACGATGCACCTTCGAGATTTTGAAAATGTCTTAATTGATTATCTTTTTAGGTACTTTAAGCTCATATTGCTTTAATTCGTAATTTTAAATGTATTGTGCTTTAAACTTGCAATGTTTTGATTATTTGACTTTTTTTTATTATTTTACTTTAGAAAGTTAAGAATTGTTTGGTAAATTATGTGGATTTACATAAAATTTTATTTGTATATCATAACAACTTTTAAAAAAAATTATTATAATGTTTATTGACTTATGGATTCAATTTTTCTCACTTGTACTTATTAGTCTATGTAATTAAATTTACTAATTAAGATACTCAATCAAAATCAATATTTATTATTAATATATACAATTAAAATTTATGTTTAGTGTTGAGATATTTAATTAGATTATAAATAAATTAACTATATTTGTTGAAAAATATTTATGTCATCTAAATAAAAATATAAAAAGAAATTTAGCATTAGATTTTCTTTTTTCCACATTATATTATAGTTTGCTTTCTATATCTTTAAACTAATTTTTAGGTCTTTGGCATATTTACATTTTTTTATTTGTTTTTGCTGTTGGGTATGTCGTCATTTTAAGTATTTATATATATATATATATATATATCTTTGTTTTTTTCTCTCTTAGACTTTTCTTTCTTATATTTTCTTAGCTTTTATTTTTTGTACTTACCTAAATGGCTCTTTTAATGTTTGTCCTTGAATGTCCAACATTAACTCTTAAAACATGTAATATATAATTTTTGTTCTCTAAATATTAGCTTTTGACATTTTCACTTATAAGTGTTACCTTTTGAAACAATTTAAATTTTATTGGTTAGATGACACTAATGAGTTACCAAATTTTTTTTTTTTTTTAATTTGCATTTAGCAAATTTTATAAATAAAAAATTGTTGAAAAACAATGAATCTCAAATTTTAAAATAAGTTACGTCAATATAAACATTAAATAGAGATGATTCATTCTCAAAATTGTAAAAAATTATTTTGAATTGCATCTAACCTATTGACTCTTTTTAGTCTCATCAACTACTCTCTTCATTTTGTTGCATTTGTTTGGTTGCTATTGAGTTTCTGACTAGAAATTCATAATAATATTTATATATCCCTCATTTATATATATAATAAATCGAAGTTTGTTATCCTTCAAATATTGGATTTTGTATTTTAACCTAGAGTAATTTTAATGGTGTATCCAATTATATTTATATAATATATACATTTTGTAACATCTCAAACCCAATAATTTAGCTCAAAATGGTAAAATTTAATTGATCGAATAAGTCAACTATCAAGGGTATTGGATATTTGTTCTTAATAATGATTATGTTAAGGGCTCGATAGTTGATTCATAGGTGCAACAACCTGTCTTTCTTATTTTGAAATAAAACAGGTGCACTATTAGGGACTTTGGAAGACTGGATGTAGCCCACTTCAAGACAACCTTAAAGCTATATTTTTAATTATGTCAGTTCTGTGGGTGCAATGTGTTAGGAATCTATGCCAGGATGTTTGTCACCTGATTCCAACTCGATCTAGTGATCTACCTCTCGCCTTGGTGGAAGCTTTTTGGGGAGTTCCAAGGGCATTACGTCCTTCTATTCCTTAAGAATCATTAGACACACTTCTACACCATTTGCTTGGTTTTGGATATACTATTGCTTAGTTTCTACACAATTGCAACAAAGTATATTGTAGACTTTAATCCTCTTTTGAATTACAAGGCGAAAATCATTTGTGGTCGGGTGTGTGTGGGGTTATTTATACCATTTTACCTTTTAATCTCAATCGTCCATCAAGATTTAATCTGAACCGTCCGATCGCGATTTATTTGGGATTAAATATGGGTCGTCCATCGCGATGCGATCTGGACCGTCCGTGCCTGATTGAATCTGGGCCTTCCGTACACGTGAGATTTGAGCCGTTCATGCGCACATTTGATCTGGGTCGTCCGTGTGCGCAGGAACGGATCTGGGCTGTCTGATCGCGCGCACGCGAATCACCCACGTGGCCCGTCCCATGTCAGTGTTCCTTGCCACGCGGCGTGTCCTGGTTGGCCGGGGCTGCTGACGTGGCACAACTTTTCCAAATTGTGTTTTGACATCCGGTTTCTTATTTTTTTTTCAAAAATGCTTCCAGAATCCAAATTTTCACCCTTTTTTTCTAAAATCAATTTTAATTAAATCCAAAAAATAAGTTTACCCTATTTTATCATTATTATTATTTTTATTAAATTAAATTAAATTAAAATCTTATAAGTTAAATTTATAAAAAATTAAACTAAAATTCAAATACGAAAATAAAAATAATAATTTGGGTGTTACAGGTTATATGATCAATTGTTATGACAACTATATTGTCTATATAAATGTCATATAAATGATATGTAAGTATAATATGATATATTGGTATGCATTTGTTAGTTGCTTTATTAATAAAAATTTTTATGTGAAAAATTTACTAGATACCCAAGAAAATGATTGACGGGTCCGGTATATAGGAAACCCTACCACAAACGTTATCTGAGTAGAACGGGACTGAAAAGTCTCTTACTAGAAATGTTTGAGAGATATGGTTCATTTTTATACCGGACGAGGTATCGAGGCAATAAAATTTTTGGCGCCCATTATCGGACATGGTATATAGACAACTAATTAATTGTTAAAATTGGATATTGTGTTTACGAGTAGAGGACATCCCTATGGACCCCCAAGGGTACTAGTAAGTAAGAAAGAAATGAAAGTTATCGTCTTTTGTTCTCTTATGTGTGAAAATGAAAAGTGGTATGGATATGAGCATTCATAGGTTATTTTTAAAAAAACTTGTTACGGTAAGTATCAAACTTACCGTAATAATAAAAAATTTAATGTCTTTTCTAATAATAAAAAATTAAAGAGTTTTAATTTTAATTACGGTTATTATTTTTATTTAGATATATGTATTTTGAGTATTTTTAAAATAATTTTCAAAAAATATGATTAAACTGTAAATAAATGGGAGATATATTTAAAAGAAAAATTTAAAAATAGGGGTCAAAGTCGGAAAAAAAAAGTATAGGCCACATAGGACAGTTACGTCAATAGCACGGGGAGTCAGGACACGCTGCGTGGCGGACACGCTAACATGGGCTTTACGCGGGAGACATGCGTGTGATCAGTGTACCAGGACGATCGAACGACCCGTGTCCAGTCCCACGCACACTGACAGCCTAGATAATATCCTGTATAGTTTTCAAATGAATTGCTCTGATCGCCCACGTGACAAATCCAATGATCGTACAATCGACAGTCCTGATTCGCATAGTTGATCAATTAAGTGGTCTAAAAGCGTTTCCCAAATAAGTGCGATCGGATTGCCTCCGTTGTGCCCTGTGGACCCACACGGTCTACTGGGATTGATCGTAGAGATGTATTTAAACCTCTCTTCCATCGAAACTCTAACCTTAGCTGACACACGTTGTCGGAGAAGAATAAGAAATGGGGAGAAGCCCAGCCATCGGAGGACATCAGCTCCACCGCGTCGGAGACCCAAAACACATCGGTGAGCAAGATTTTTCTTTCTGTTCTCCCTGTCTCCCTATCTTAGGTTGTTTAAACCAACCCTATGCAGGAAAAACCAAAGAGGACTGCGACCCACGAAAAAAAGGTGGCGAAACACAGTTGTGCCGCCACACTAAAGATCGAAAAATGCCCCGATAAGCCATGTTTTCTTCCTGTTCTTCTCATTTTTTCACTCTTTAATTGCTTAACACGTTTTTGATATAGGATGACCGACAAAAGCCATAAATCACGAGGGAGGGACAGCGGAGCTCTGTTGAGTCGCCGCATCGAAAGACCGAAACCACCGGTAAACATATGTTTTTCCCCTCCTTTTGTTGAGAAATACTCCCTAACCATGATTTAAACAGATTTTCACCAAGAACAAACTGAAACCAACTTGACCGAGAGGAAGAGCCAACAGAGAAAGATGACCAGGCGGTGGAGCGCGGTGGTGTCGCCGCG